AAAGGAGTTTCCTTTTCTGATCTTCAAAGAAATGCTGCAGATTTTTTGTTTTCTAAACACCAGTCCTTAATCACCCCTCTCCCCCACTCTTCTGTGGCGGAAGGGGAGATAACCATGTACTTTAATGGAAGTGCGTTTGGAAAGTCAGGTGCAGCAGGAACCAGTGGAATTTTTAGAAGAAGAGTTTGTACAGTTAATTGGGCTTTCAGTGGACCGATAGGGATAGCCTCTTCAACAAAGGCTGAAATCATGGCAGCACTAACAGGAATCAGGATTGCAAGAGATCTGAGCTATCAAAACATTATCATAAAAGGAGATTCAGCAAATACCATCAAGTGGTTAGCTGACTCTGGCAGTGGTCCATGGGCTTTAGCTCATTTCTTGGCTGAAGCTAGAGATATCCTATTTAACTTAAATGCACAGCTGGGCTGGAACCCTAGGGAGCTAAACTCTGATGCAGATGGCCTAGCAAAAGCTGGTGCTCACAAGGATTTCTTGTTTAGTGATAGCTTTCTTCCTACTTAACATTTGAGTTGTACTTTCTGTGTACATCTTCTTATGTACCCACTATTTCATTAGTAAAGTTACCATCTTTTTCAAAAAAAAAAAAAGATAAAAGTGACTCCACTATACTCTGATCATACAGTCTATTATTTTAAATTCCATTACAAAATCACATTTAGATCTTACTCCCAAGGCTTCAAATCCTTAAAGAAAGGGAAATCTTGCTTCATAAGGTGTACTTTCTTTTAGGTCCACTTTTCTCCAAAACAAGTGTTTATTTATCTTCTGACCGTCTTATATCTGACAATTACATCTTATATGGGAATACTTTTTAGTTGAGGGCTTGAGGCTGAGAGATTCCCAAGCTCAACTAGATAAAATCAACTTGAATCATGGAAGGTGCACATTATATCCAGTGTACCATGATTTTTCAAGACAGAAAACATAAGTAATTTATGAGTAAATTAATTAGCTAAATCATGATAATCATCAAAATAAATTTACGAGTGATCCAGTGATATCATCCATACCAAAAACTAGACATATCATCAATAGGCTTAGGCAAAGTTTGGGAGTGGTTATTGTTTAAATAAGTGTTTATTAAATAAGCAGCTTATGAGTGTTTGGTGAAAAAGTGATTCTTTCGAATGGGGGGTAATATAGATATTTTGATAATTAGATGGCGGGCCAAGATGGGCCACAAACACAATAAGCACTTTTTCATTCAAAAAGTGGTTATTAAAAAGCCCATATTTTGGGATTTTTCAAAATGAGCTTATTCTCTTGAAAAAGCACTTATTGGGGCTTTTTTTGCCAAACTTCCATAAGTGTTTTTCAGGTGCTTTTGGAATGTTTCAAGCACTTAAAAGAAGGACTCCCAAACAGGGGCTTACTTTAGCAAGTAACATATCATTAATACCCCAGCAAATCATAAGGTTATCTATTTAAATGGAAGCCAATGAATGCTGTTTCAAATGGCAGCTAACATGATTTAGGAATACATGACTCCATAACACTCAGAATACCAAGTGAAACATTTCAAGTTTTAAAGATAAGCTTCCAACCAGATAAAATATTCCCAGATTCATTGAAACAATTAATTCTAGTAGCAAGTCAGTATAGAATCTACAGAAGAAAAAAAGTAATGAGCATACCGTGTATACATTTTTGAAGTCAATTCCTCTCACCACCCCAAATTCTGCATCCAATTTTCGTATGAGATGCTTCTTAGATTTTTTTGACACAATGTCATTCTCCTTGCTGACTTGTTTGTTCTCTTTTATTTGGCTATCATCAGTTGCTATTAAATAATCAAAAAGCCCAGCGTTGAATTCCTGATGCAGACCAGTGACATATAAAGAAATAAGAACTGAATGCTAAATGTGTTAGCAGTGAGCTTTTTTTTTTGAAAGGTAAAGTAATAACTTTATTGAATGAGAAAGAACTCAGTACAACAGAAGAGCAAGACACAAGTAGCTGCTCAGATTTCAGAACATGTTGCAGATCCCAAAAGGAAGTAGACCTAACTAATACAGGAACATTTAGCTCTTTAAAATCAGGTGTAATAGACACCCAAGAAAGCAGCTTGCTGACCGCCTGCTGCACTATCTCCTCCGTGCTCTTAGCTTTGTTGCTGAAGATTATTCTATTCCTTTCAGACCAAACTACCCACATCACTGCCGCAGGAATAGTTCTCCAAATTAAACTTCTTTTTTTCTTCAAACCTTGGAGATTCCAGCAAAGCAGCAGATCTTTTACTGAATTTGGCATGACCCAATTAAGACCAGCTGCTCCAATGAAATGATACCAGACTTTCGAAGAGATAGGACAATGTAAGCACAGATGGTCTGTGGACTCAGGCAACACGGTCACCTCATTTTTATTATTGTCGTTGTGAAAGTAGATAAAATGGGATTGCTCAAAATATAAGTAGATAAAATGGGGAAGAACTTCAAAGTCAAGAACTAATCATATCTATACCTGTTAAATTTTCTGCCCAAACAATACTGAAGATAGTACAGTGTTGAAAAGGATATAGACATATGCACCCCAGTGTTGCATGGACTCCTAAATGGATGAAGTGTCCACATTGGACACATATTGGACTTCAACACTTCATGGATTCTTGAAGAAAACTTCTATGAGACATTTTTCTCCTAAAAGGATGAACTGTCCACGTTCAACATAAATGAACAGATAAAGTACACAATGAATGTCATTTTTCCTAACAAATAAAAATCTTTTAGACCTTTTTCAATGGATTTACAATGTTAAAATCCAAGAAACATGGACTACTTTATTAGTGTATAGTTTTCTATAGATGTGTCCACAAGTCCTTGTTCCTTCATCTTGCCGGCTCAGACTCCTAGACATGCATCAGATTCTGATTCCCGTTGTGCATCCATGCAACACTGGTGCAACCTAAAGTGGAACATGTTGAAAGAACAAAAATGTATATAAACATATTTTTTTCTGAATAGTTTCACATTTCATCAGCAATATCAGGCCTCCAACTTCTAAGTAGGCCACAGATAGCAATGAGAGGAGGAGCAGGTATTGGGTTACTGTTGCAGTAATTCCAAGTAGACTTTCTTGCTAACAGAAAAATCCTTTTTATGAGTAATGATAAAAAATATATTAATTGAGATCTAGTGTGTACAAGATGCACATGCAGTCATTTTAATAGATAGTCCCCACTACCTCACCCTTGTCATTTAATTTAAAATTTAGCCCAGAACATTTGATTTCTGTAAGCCCCTTATCTTGCTAAGGCATCAGTCATAGAATTGGCTGATCTTTGCACCCCATTGAGTTTTAACTTGGGAGTTCCAAGTCAGACATTTAAACTTCTTGATTTTATTCTTGAATCTCCACATCACTCCCTCCTCATTCAGCAACCATCTTACTACTACCTTTGAGGTACCTTCAATAATTAACAGAAGGGTCCAATTCCCAAAGTAATTGTTTTCTTTTAATTCATGGCCAACAATCCACATCCTCATTTACTATAAGAATGATGTTCGCAAGTGAAAAACTGGATGGAGGCCCTAGTAAGACATACCTCAAGGATATGGAGGCGTGAGTTCTGTGGCAACTCAGCATTCAAAACTGCAGATCTTATTCCAAACTGTCACAAATAAAATGCCAAATTCAAATAGAGTTGTTAAAAAAATACTACAGAAATAAGAATAATACATCTGGGAATGATAGATACAGGTGGCATAAATAGGTCATGCACACCTTAATGACAAGACATGCAGTGCCCCGTTTAAAGAAGTGGGAAACCTCATAAACAAGAGAGGGGTTAGGTCATTTAAATGTCTAGATGGGATTTTCTAGTGAACTCACAAAGTGGACCCCTTAAATAACTCATGATCCCAGACCTATAAAAAAAATAATCATGACCCAAGCCTTAGTTTAGGACCTGCTGCCCATTTAAATGGGTTCTACTGCAAGCTCATTTCTCTTCTTAACTAAATTATCTTAAACTACCCATAGAGTTGGTCCAATACAAATTGCCCAAAAGAAGTTCTTTATAGGCTATAACTGAGAATAGAGTAATAGTCTTCTCCCAATCCAGAAGCAAGGCTCAAGGAGCAAAACCTTGCATGCAGCAAAGTGTTGGGCAATGAAGAAGAAACGCATCCATAAAATGATTATAACGAAGCATAGAAGAGGATGTTAAGATAGAATAGTTAGCTACAAAGGACAGAATTAGAAATGAGTGCATACAAGAAAACCTAGGAGAAGTATCACAAGTTGAGGTTCTGAAAGAGGTAAAATGGAAACAAAGAGGATTTTGGTTGATTCGTCATGCAAGAGGTTTTTCATTAGCAATAAAAGATGAGGGTAGGTAGGTCCACATACAACAAAAACCAAAATAATAGTGCAAGACCCCAAGGGTGCATTGGGTATAACAATACCTGTTCCAGGAAGAGTTTCAATCTGAAAGCCATGTCAATACTATTTAAAAATATCAGAACTTTTTTCTGAACAAGTTCCAACTTCAAGAGAGCAAGGATGTTGAGTAGCTTGTCGCGAGCACTGCATGAAATCTGGGGGCAAGACATACAAAAACTAGAGAGCTTAAGAATCATTAGCTAGGATGGCTTAATATATCTTAAAAAGAAAGTAGAGATAACCAAAAGCTAATAAGTACAAAATTTTGCTTATGATGAGGATAATTTTAAGTGTGATCACATGATTCTCTCCCTCGTAGTATTCAACTTTTTTTTATGATTTACTTTTTTCTGCCTAGAACTAAGGTTGGTTAATTGTATTTATGGGGGTTTTCAAGAGTGCAAGGGAGTATTATTTGTATGCTGGGTTCGGGGAAAGGTGGGCTTTGCCCTTAGTATTGCTCTCTTAAATCTTATTTTGTTTACTAATAAAATTTCAAGATGATCATCCCTCCACCTGGAATAAATTTTAGGGTTAAAAAAGAAAAAACAAAAGCCAATGAGTACAAATAAAACTTCTCCACTAGTGAATTATATCACAACCACTTAAACTCGGTTGACAAGCACAGTTCATGCTCTAATAATAAACATAGCAGTTTGCCAAGCATTTGACAATAACATAGATGAAACATAAACAAACATAAGGATACATCAAAAAAAGGTCCATCTATATAGCCTTTATACGATATGCTGGATTGAACACTTCGGGAGTTTGGTATAGAAAACATGAAGTCATTGCATACACCCAAGAAGCAATCATGTTTTACTGAAGCTAACATTGGTTGGTTGATCCATTGAATTCACCAATTTTTTTTATAAATATTGAATTCACCAATTATTGGCAAGTATAATGGTGCTAATGATGATTCTGCATGTATTCCATGTATACCTTACCAGTGGACTTAAAAACCTCAAAGTTAACTCTTGTAGTCTTGCTACATGCGTAGTTCTGGATGTATTGACCACATCCTTTGGTGTAACTGTCTATCCCTCACATTGGGACCAAATTGACAATTAGGCAGTAAAGCTTGTGCTGTAATAAGATAAGCATGCTTCCAAACAATAGTTAAGCCTGCAGGAAAATAGGACTTTGAGGTGATTCTTTTCAGAATAGTTAAGCATGCTTCCACAGGCAGTTTACCTTTCTTTTCTATTCCTTGGGAAGGTCTTTACTTTGTACTATTATATTATACCAGCATCGTCAACAAATTCTGTTAATTTTATTACTGATTAGAAAAGTAGACAAAAATGAAGAATGGTATAGACAAACCTTTTCACATGTTAAATACATATCAAAGAAATAATATAGTTATATGCACAAAAGACATGACACTCATATGAAAAATGGTATTATTATCACAACAAATGTTCCAGGAAAGAAACAGATAGAAATAGATAAAGATGAACAATCTAAGCCAAGACAATCAAGGAGAAGAAAACTTGCATTGTTTGTAGAGTTCTATGGAAGCAAATACTAATTCATACCCAAAATTGCTGAACATTCTTTGGAATAATCTCATCTTTAATGTCTCCAACTTCTGGTAGAGTCAAAATGACTGGATTGTGTAGAACAAGTTTCTTTAACTTCTCAACATCAGCACTGTCAATGGTCAAAAGCAACATAATGAATTGATAGTTCAACATCACCATTGCCAATGGTCAAAAAGCATCATAAAAGATTTGATACAGGTGAGTCTCTATAAGCTCTACAATGGGGAGGGGAGGAAAAGATAGGCATGATGTTAGACAGCCTTGCAAGTAAGCATCACATCCAGAAATTTCCTTTTCTCAAAATTTAATAATTAACGAAAGCTTGATAAATATAGAAGCAAGGGAGCTTCCAGAGTAATCATGAACATTGAAGTGGTACCAGAGAATTCAGTTCTCCAAGACTCCATATACAACGGTTATCTATTTACACATGTTTTAGAGCCAGACAACTTGTTTTCCAGCTCATATAATGAACAAAAAGCAGTCTGCATCTAGAATAACATGAAATGTGTAAGCCACATATGATCTGCTTGTAGACAACAAACACTAAACTAGAAGCAAAGTACCAAAAGGTCCATGCCAAATATGCCCTTAAAATTGTTGAAAAGGTTGGTGACACCATCAAGAAGTCATACATAGAGTGTGGAAAAGAAATACAGACGGCAAACCTTGAGGTTGCAGACATAAGAAGGCACTGACAACGCCGAGGAACATGAGTTGTAAACGTTTTTAGGTCATCCTCGTATCCATATGATAAAAGAAGGTCTGCCTGAAGATAAATATAAAATAGTTTTCATGTAAATGCAAAAAGAGAAAGGAAAACACCAATATTTCATGAATAAAGAAAAATTGTAGTTTGGTTATGACTATCAAATTTCAGGCATAAATTAGCTAATAAGTCTTGAAAAGTTATTGTGTTGCTGACCAGAAAGTAGAAGGTTTGGCAGTTCAGGCTCCCTGGGTGGATAGTGAAATTAGGAATGCAAATCAGGTAACCAATTTGAGGAATTTGCACTGTATTGGGCCTGGGACCTCATGCCGAGTCCCTTCAAATTTTAACAAATGCTCAACCCAGGCCCATCCCCAAGTTGTACCCCTAAGTGGAATACCTTTTGGTATATATGAAATTCCAGGTACATGTTTCCAAAATTTCTTCAATATCAAAGAATGCTTTTTCCTCTTTATATATATATTTTTTTTATCAGCAACACAAAATTGATTCATTAGATTAACAAATAGAGATACATTTCCTCCTCTTTTTTTCATCCTTGCCTTCTATGAAGGGTCTGGGGGATGTATAGACATTTATCATGGAAGATATTCCTTATGAAGTCCATTAAGTAAATAAAAGGTATCAAGAAAAATAAACATCAATGAAAGGTGAAGTTCGTTATTTTTCCCCTTCTTTTGATAACCAGATCATAAGAAGCCATTGTTTTGGCAGGACATGTACCATAATGGGCCATGAAGTGAGCATACAAAATGCAGTGTCTGATTCATCATCAAACTTTTCAGTTAGAATTAAAATAGCAACTCTGGTTTGGTGATAGTTAGTAAGAAAACAATAATCAATTTTCTTTTGAAAGGTAAATAATCAAATTGTTGCCAGTAATCCCATTGTTGCCAAAATTTTAGAAGCATTTCCACTTAGGCCAAGGTATGTCACTTTATATGGGTCAATTAGAAATTGAAAGATATAGATAGATGTGGTTAATTTAGTCTCAACACAAATGCACAGTTTACTTGGCCCAAACCACTAATACTTCATGTTGGATGAACTAGACACATGTTAGACCTTTTATCCTTGGGTTTCAGTCAACTATTTTTTGGAAAATATAGATGATAAATGACAAATCAACATGCTCAGAAGCTCACTACAAAACAAGAAATAAAGAATTACGTCACATTGTTTCAACTTTACACCTCATCCAGAACAAGTATTGAGAGGGAATCCTGAATTGACTTGGTTTGAATGACATTAGCTGACATACACATGGAAACACAGGCCGGTGTTGAGACAAGAATATCAGGTGGACCTGTTAATGCAGCTCGCTGCAAAAATAAATAAATAAATAAGAAGCCACTATGAATTAACAAATTCATGCCCAGTAAGATGAATGCTGCAGGAACTCCATTCACCCTAGCATTAAAAATGTACTTACCAATTCAGTAACAGACATGCCACTTGTCAACTGTACAACTTTCAACTGAACTCTACATGATTCAATAAGAGCTAAGACCTCTGAATAAACCTACAAAATAGAATGAATGAAACACACACTCAAATCAGCAGATAACCAAAAGTTGACCCCTTGAGAATAATCTATCAAGTAGATGTAATGTACTTGTTGGCAAAGTTCCCGTGTCGGGACAAGAATAAAGGCACTTGGAGCAGTCTTTGCTGAAGCAGAATCCGAGAACAGCTTCTGAAGCAACGGAAGGAGGTAGGCATATGTCTTTCCAGAACCAGTTTTAGCACGAGCAACAACATCTTTCCCTTCCTGCATGAAATAATAATGGAAAATGCATTAGAAACCAGAATGTATGCCACCATTAACTTATATGGTCATAGTGTGACTAAATAAACAAACATTGAGATACAGACGTAACAATTAGAAACAACGAAATAAAGAAGCAACATAAATTAATTAAAGAGATTTAGGAGATGGGCAAAAAGTAAAAAAGGGTAGAAATATACCAGAATCAATGGAATAGCGACACTCTGAATTGGCGTTGGCTTTGTGATATCCTTCTTTATCAGTGCTCGGACCAAGCGTGGGTCCAAAGCAAGCTCTTCAAATGTCTGGCTTTCCTCTTCTCCTTCTTCGTCTTCTCCTCCATTATTAGGGGGTAAGTTCTCTATGACGGGAGCCATAGACTTTCAGCTGCTACGGAAGCAAGCTCTCAAATCAGTTCAGTTTAAGAAGAACAAGGAGAAAGAGAAGGAGAAGGAAAGAAGAACGAAAACAACTAAGCATCGAGAGACGAGCAGGCATGAATAAACAAAGTAATGAAACAATGTAAAGAGTTAGGGTTTTTTTACCTGTTGACGACGTAGACGTAGAAAAAGTTCGTTGTTCTCAAGTGTCTGCGTGACTGTGTATGGAGACGGACTAGGAGAAATTGGGGATGGATGCTCCCAAGTCCCAACTACTCCAAAGGATCTGATGCAGTTTTGGAACTTTTGGTGGCCGAATTTGAACAAAGAGTCAGCACGTACGGGATGATAAAAGAGGACACAAGTAGGGCTGCAAACGGACCGAATCGGAGATCGGTAGATCCAAATTCGATTCGTTATTTTTTTTTAATTCGAATCGGACCTTGTCCATCGGATTTATATCATTAAAATCATATTTACATAGCAATCACATAAAAAAAAAAGAGAGAGAAAAAGAAAGAAAAACCATATTCTGTTAGACTCAGACTACGACCCAAACCCGACCCATATTTAGGTCAAGCCCAAATTTTCTATCCAGGCCCATCAAGCCTGAAAATTTAGGCCTTTGAGCCATTTCCATATGTTAGGAGTTAGGACCAATTCCATCTCAGGTTCGATTTGTTCAATGGCAGATCTATGATCTTTGTTCAGTGGGAGCATACCTGTGGCTTAACCTCTTAGGCCTTTAAAAATCATGAAAAAATACTTCAATTAAAAAGTTAATTTTCATTCGACCCCCTATTATTATTATATTTGAGCAATCGTAAAAATATATTAAATTTCTTAATATACATATAAAACATTTTTAAATTCCACTGGGGTAATTGCCCACACTAGCCTTTACTTAGATCTGCCATTGACTATGTCTAAATTGCAACTCTACCAATATATTGACCTCTTTAGTCTTAATTGGATTGGCAGGAATGCTAATTAAGAGATTGTTTGGGACCAATGCGTTGCACAAGCCATTCCTTTCTTGAAAAATCCAGAATGCCTCGAGAAATGCAAACAACTGATTCCACTATAAAAAGATTCATAATTGATTCATGTCACATCAACGAAAGAAAATGCATTGGTCTAAAGAATGTTTGGTGCCATGGCGTTACCAATCTAACGGTTCAGAAATAACTAACATGATGTTATATAAATAACATTATTAGTTGTAACTAATTTTAAATATTATATATAGTATGCATAAATGATTTTGCATGAATAATTTATATTATAACATACATGATTATTTTAATATTTTAAAACCTAAAAATAAATAAATAACATAATAATTTATGTAAATAATGTACGTGATTGATTTATACTATTACAAAACTGAAAAAAAAATTAACACGAGCATTTGAAATATTAAAAATATAGAAATACATAAATAAATAATATAATAAAAGATAAATAATAGAGACAGAGATTATGTATTTAAAATGCTAAATATTCGACAATAAAAGATAAATTTAAGACATTAGTTAATTTTAAGATATTAAATTAATATAGAAATACATAAGCCACTAAATTTTGAAAATCAGTCTAAAAAAATAATCCAAGTCAGTTAATCCAAAATGACATGAAAACCCGAAACAAATCATATCCCCACACATCCCATTGCATACCTTGATCGGTGGTCAGTCTTGGTGAAGACGGTGAAAATGAGGAGGTCGATCTGCAAAAAACTAATGGGGAGTATGCAGTGAATGTATTATTAATAGCAAAAAACAGAGAGAAGACGATAAATGTTGGGGATGTAAATGGATCTGATCGGATTTGAATCTGATCCGGTTTTATAGGATTTGATTTGAGCTTGAACCCTACCAGTAAGTTGGATCTTTGAATCTGAATTAATCCAACTTGTTTTCTTTAAAAATTAATAAATTATTAAAAAAATAAAGTATACAAGTAAAAACAAAAAATACAAGTATTTTTTTTTATTTTCACCATATATATATATATATAATATACTAAATTTATAAAAAATATAATATACAAAATATATTTATAAATAAATAAATAATATATATGTATTATATATTTATTTTATAAATCTATAATATATATCGGGTTGGATCATGACCCGATCCATTTGCACCCCAAACAAATGCCACCGGAGATGGAAGTGACTTACTGGCACCAGTGTGTGAGAGATCGATGATCGGTGTGAAGCTTCAGTGCTTCACCAATAGGCTCCCGGGGCGGCAAGAGAGAATGGGAAGGAAGAAAATGGGGTTTAGAGTTCTTCTCGGGTCATTATTTGGGGTTAACATGAAACGCATTGCACCTGATCATTATTAATTTGATGTGGCAAGATATGATGTAAGATTCCAGGTGGGACCACGTCAGATTTGGTGTTCTTGAATCAGGGGTGATTTTAAGAAATGTCAAGTTCTCGTTTTGTTTGATAAAGGTGAGTTGTGAATCTCAAGGGAGAAATGTTTTTCGATTTTTTTTTTTGTTTGTAAAAAACGCTAAAAAAACGTTGGTTTTCAATGTGATTCCATTTTTTCCTAATGTAGCAACGAATCCACATCAGCTGAATCAAAATAATCATGAAACACGTCTATTCCAAACAACTCTAGGTGGCCCATCAGGTCGTCACCTTGTTCTTGATCACTAATCTAATATATATATATATATAGTAATGAAATTAGGCCAAAGCCTCCCTAGTCAGACATGTAGCTCTCCTCCTCAGATACCTGTATTCAAACTGTTAAACAAATTAGACAAATGTCTTCTTCTTATTAGTTGTCTTTCAATAAAAAAAACCCACTAACATGCATCATAATGCTGTGAAGTGAGAAATTCCCACTCTCAATTATTTCCTAAAAAAAAAGTAAAGTATAAACTTGAACAATAACTTCAGATTAGAGTTGATAGTTTTATTCTTAAACATTCTCCATAGATACTTATTTATTAGCTTAACACATATTTACCATAAAATTTAATTAGACACGTGGCATCCTAAAATTTAAATATGGGCTCGTCCACACCTAAAAAACTGTCAAAGTAGTTACTTTAAGTCACAAACAATTTTTAAATTTAATTTTAATTAAGAGTCCTAAGGTTCAAAAACTGATTATGCTTTAAAGTCATCATGTAAATTACCAGAATTTATTGTAGTTAGAAAATCTATATTAACAACAATACTCAATAATTAAATACTGATTATTAATAAGAATATAATAAATAATCATCACCATTACTAATTAAAAATAATATTAATCTTTAATTAAATAATTAAGTAAATTTTAGCAAACTAAAACCCCTCATTCTAATGTAGTTTCAGTTAGTAGGCCACGCAGGAAGAGGAGAGCTTAATCAATTAGTAGGCCATATGCCTAAATTGCAGGAAGAGGGGAGGTTATTAAGTTAGTAGGCCAGGTACCAACCATATCATTCGAATTGCAACTCTTCACCTCTACATCCAAACCGTGACAAAAAAAAATCAGCAAATTCACCACCACCTACTGCACCCAAACTACAACTTTGCAACTAAGAAACACAACTTCTACATCAAATGCGATTGAAGTTCTGGATTAAGACCAGGAATCGAATTTAGCAGAGTATCTGCCACAGGCTGCAAATTCAGAGAATTAATGACAAATTCAATCCAGTTAGTTTATTATTACATGCTCTATTTTTTATAGTAGTTTCAGGTTAGTTTAATATTACATGATTGTAGAACTAAGTTTGGGGTTAGAACTTTCATGTTTCAATCTCTGTTCAATACGTAAAGGAATTGATTGCAGAACCAAGTCCAAAGCACTCATTTGCACTGTATAAACGGTTTTCTTTTCAAAAACTTGAATGACTTCCAACACGACCCTTCTCATGCCCTCCTCCAAAACCCTTCCTCCAGAGGCCATCCTCAAACCCAAAATCATGAGCTTTGCTAACGTGCCAATCTTCATACAACATTGAAAAGGGGAGAAAAATGTTACTCATAAGCTTCTGAATCATAAGCTAGCGATCTCTGTTCAATCTTGATGCAAAATCATGAGCTTTGCTAGCGTGCCAATCTCTCAAGATCTTCGAGTTCAGTTCAACAATTTGCAATTGCTCCATAAGCTTCCTTATTGCCAGAATCCTCCCCCTCTCGCTCTGATATTGCTAGAACTATGGAGTGTATATACCTATTTATCAAAGTTCAAACTACAATTTTCATTAGTATCTTGATCTAAGTTCACACAAAGCAAACCACAAAAACAGGCAATGATAGTGCATTACCTTTCTGAGACCCAATAAGTTGTTTATTGTAGTTAGAAGAGGACCTATTAGCCGAATAACCACCATGGCCGATTATTGTAGTTAGAAGGCTTAGATGATTCCGGTAGTTGATTCCTTCCAGCTCCATGGTGCTTGCTTGGAATCTTTAGAGGCATGGCGTTCCTAATTGTATGTAGAAGTATTTTCATTACGGATGAAGACAACTCAGAGTTAGTTGTCTCACAAGATACAAGTTTGTCCATCAGGATTTGCTCTTAGCAGGATCTTTAGCATTTTGTTCAATTACTGCCTACTTACTCCCTACAACCTCTACTGTTTTTAATGCTTACTACAGTCCCTATTCCTTCAATGCTATTTATTATAAATTTACATAGATTTCTGGTTTGCTGTATGAGTTTAAAGCATGATGTACAAATTGAGATTGCCGACCACTGATGATCAATTCTGTGTGGTCATCGGTGGCCGGTAGTGTCATACCATATGTATTGTAGTCGGTGGATGAGAGTTTAGGATAGAACTGTTGATAGTGTCTGAGAAGAGTTGTTTGTGTCAATATGCAATGCCCTTTTTTTAACAGTAGAGATAGCCAACCACCAATGACCATTCTTGTCTGTTCGCCGGTGGCCGGGATTGTCATAAGAAGGTGGATACGATCGCTTGAGAATAAAGGTTGGTCTATGAAGAAGGTGGATACGATCAACCAATAACCATTTAATACTGATGATCACAGGGTTGTCCTTTAGTTTAGAAGACATCGCCCACCACCGGCAATCATTTATGCCCGGCCGCCACTGGCCAGGAGGTTGATAGGATAGTGGCCGTTTTTTGAATGCAGCACGAACCATCGCCTGAGAAGACGATGGCTCGACTAAGTAAGGAATGGCTGTGCATTCGACCATCTATTTATTTTAAAGTGGGTCCCATTAAATGCCAGTTCGAATTACTTACCTGGTTGAAAAACATTTTGAAGCCTTGATTGAAAATACAATGGCTATAAATAAAAGAGAATAATATTTAATTAATAATAATAGTCAAAATACAATTCT